TTATAGATGATTAACTATTTCTGTTATTGGTGTTAAGAATTGAGAAGAGAAAAGAGAATCATGCTTATTTTAGTGGTTGTATTTCTCTTCTCTTTTCAATTGCTCTATTATGCATTCTGTCGCGTTACACTCATTATCACCTTCGCGGTGGGGGTGATTCACTCTCGCTGCACTTGACCGTGTTCGTACCTTCTCATTAGTATAGTTTAGACGTGCGACGATTCTACAAAAATTAATATGTGCGGTCAAGTGTGTGTAGTTCGCGGTGCTTTACATTTTTGGATTATTCGTGATTACAATAGAGATATACGGCAAAAGTGGTAAAAATTCTTTACTAATAGGTGGACATATCATTCTGTAAGTGTATTAATATTCATTAATATATATATATTACACACACACATGTCATTTTTAGATTGAAACAAATTTTCGTATTGTTCAATTAAAGAAACAATTATTCAAACATAAAATTAATAATCAATTTTCCAATAGTTTTTTTTTTTTTTTTTTTTTTTTTGAATAATTTATATTTATAATAAACATAATTATTTGAACAATTATTTCTTAAATTAAAATATTAGACCAATTTTAATTCAACAATTCACGTCACAAATTGGCGATAATTCGGTACTAACTTGTATTATAATTTTAAAAGAATTTAGTGCCATTATTAAATTTTTATAATATGATGTTAATAATAATTTTAAAGTAATCGAATAATAGCCATTAATGACTACCAATTAATTAATTGTTTGTTAATTAACAACAGTCACCAGTAATTATTCGGTAGTGCACACATACACATTTATACATAAGTGTATATTTGTTTATTTATTTATAATTTATTTTATTGTCGTTATTATCATTATATATATTTATTTATTTAACAAAAATTTTAATAATTGATTTTTTTTTTTTTTTTTATTTGTTTAGTTATTATTGTTTATTAAATTTTAATTATTTATTTATTTATTTATACTACTAATGATAACAACAATAATTTATTAAATAACAGCTGATAATATAATTTGCTCATAATACTTATAAAATAAATAATCATTGGCAATAACTGTTCATGATTATCGATTACCAATAAATATTTTCCTTTTAGTACGATCGTATGCATATAGATTTTTTTTTTTTTTTTTTTTTTTTTTTTTTTTTTTTTTGAATATATATTTAATTGTTTTTGTATTGTTTTTGTATTGTTTTTTTTTTTTTTTATTTATTGATTTATTTATTTGTTTTTGTGATTTTATTTAAATGTTGTTTTATAATATTAATTATATGTCTCTATTTATTTGTATATATGTTTACTATTTATTGTTTGTATATATCATTTTATGACAGCACACATGCGTGTTCAAAATCTCTTTTTGATTTTAAAGTTATTTAGAAACAACAACAACAACAACAACAGTAGGCTTCCACTATAGTAAATTACTTAGATTTATTTATCAATTCTCCCCGAAATATTTAGGGTAAAACTCTGAGGCGTTTTGAAAATGGCAAGGTACTGACCCAAAACTCCCATAAGCCATGGGTGCTTTCCTTCATGAAATATGAAGGCAAGCACTATTTGTTGGTTATATGGTAGGAAGGAAATCTGACCTTTCTGTAGTGTGTGCGCCTCTGAGCGGCAAGATCTTGGTAAGACCGTTAAAAGTTTCACCGCTATAGTAAATTCTTTTCTCAAATTTTAAACGAAGAGAAGGTTGTGGATACGTCCCGACGGTACCGGCACCATTGTCAAAACGCCTTTGGGAATGTATTATCTTTTTATACATCAATATATATATATACACCAAAAACTAGCAATGAAAGAGTGCTGACCCAACACTTCCGCACACCATGAGTGCCTGCTTTATGATTTTTGGTCACATAAAGCAATCACTCGTTGGGTACGCGGCAGGAGGGAGAACGGGCAAATGAGAAGCCTCTGGTGGCAGTTAAACCTTAATGTTTTTCCGTTAGACCATCGCAGACTGCTCTAATTAAATATGGAGTATTAATACTCCGAGCCGCGGATTTTTCTCTCCAGCACAAAAACATTGCTAACCCTTGCTGTATATGTTTTCTTTTTTTATTGTTAATTATACCTTATGTTACCTTACTAAAATGGTTGAAGATGTTGCGTTGGTAGAATAGTACCTGGCCTTGGACTCGCTGTTGGCGATGTTGATATTACTCCGGATGTTGTTGGTACGGGAATAAATTGCAATTCCGTTTGATGTGATGTTGAGGTTAATGGGGTATCAACTGACCCCATGTTGATTGAATGACTTTCCTTCAGTGCTACTGCACTGCTTGCTTTAGGATCCGTGGTTTCGTTGCTGGGGTGACATCTGGAAGAGGTCAAATAAATGACCTTGGAATTCGGAATGACAGAATAGTTTCCTGTTGTCTCGGTCCGGCAGTCAGCTGCTACTTCGGATTGTTTTTGTGTAGGTTTTAGGATATTTGAAAAGTGGTTAGCTCCACTTGAAATAGGTTTTCTACATAGGTACAGTATGATGCATATAATAATTAGCATCGAACCTCCGTAAGCTCCATAAACAAGGGTTGTATGTTTATTTTTAAATTGTTTCTGGACTGCTAGGTCTTCTAATTCTTCTTCCAATTCGTATAGAGTTTTCGAATTTGCTTCAAAACTGGACATTTTTGATCCAAGACTTTTTACTTCTACATGCCGGTCTTCTAGGGTTATTGCAAGATCAGCATGGGTTGCTAATAGGGGTGACACCTTCATAACATCCAGATGTAACTCAGTTTCGAAGATAAGCGATGTTTGACCCTTTTGTTCTGATGTAGCTGGGATGGTGACGTCTTTTGTTTTTACGGAGCATCCTGGAGCTAGTTTCATCATACCTACTCCGGTTAAATTCACCTTAACGGGAGTCATCGAATGACAGTAGATAGTAATCACTTCTGGTCGGGCAAATGAGTACAGCCATGCTGACAGGGTTCTTAATGGTTGCCAGTAAGATTCAGGTGCTGTAGTAATTTTAATTGTGCAAGATCTCATGGCTTCAATAGATGGTTGGTCCAAGAGTAAGGGTTCACATCCTGGTCTCTCTCGCACGTCGTAGATTGGTACTCCTTCCAGGCAAGCATGATAGGCTGCAGTTGAGCGGCATTCCTTCCATTCCTCCTGGTGGATCAGCAGGTAGGTTCGTTTATCTTCGTCGATAATTAAATAATCATAATCAGAGCTGATGTAGGCTCTTTGAGTACCACTACCCAAAGATTCTTGTATTGTTGGAAGAGGATGGATTTTAAAGGACTGGTATTTGTGTCTTTCCAAAAGAGGGATGTCGATCAAGACCTTCAACTTATGGTTATCGCACCAGATGGAAATGGTGGCGATTCGAATAAGCTCGTCGATGCTGACCTTGGGTCCAGGTAGAGGAAAATAAACATCTGTCAGATTGTCTTGGATCTCTCGCATGATTGGTTCAAGTTGGTTTGATGAGATGATTCCGGGATGAAGCCGATTTTGTCGAGCTTCATGGACAGCATTCAAGATGGTGGATGTAGCTTTGATGTTGTGGTCCAATCCGATTTTAAGTGCCTCCATTAATAGTATTATGGATTGTCTTCGTTCTTCTGCTTCTTTCCAGGTAGCGCTTTTTCCTTCTCTCAAAAGTAAATTTTGTAGATCCTGACGTAGGTTATCCATTTGGCCTTGTTGATTGACATATTGAGTGTGAATGATGTCCAATTGAGAGCGGACAATGTGAGTTTGTTTTCCCAAGTACCTGGTCAGATTACTTTGGGCTTGGTTCAGGTCTTCGATAGCCGCATCGTACCGTTCTCCGTCGTCATAATTTAGAACGCCTGCGATGGGCCCAGCTATTTTTCCCAAAAATCCAAGGAGAGGAACACTCCGTCTTACTTTTAGTTGTGACGACATTTTCCTTGGTAGGCTCGTCCTGGTATTTTCTAATTCCTCGATCTGTCCTCGGAATTGAAGTTGTAATTCTGATGCCATCTCCCATTTATCTCCCCATTGAAATTGATACATGGTTTGCTCGCACCAATTTTCTCCTGGTCTGCAATATTCCTTGAGCCTTTCCAGTCTCAACTTCAAATCATTATAATGGCGAATTTGTTTTCCGATGTCTAGAAACACAGCCACCCTCCATCTGCTAGTCGACCGTCGAACTTCTCCGAAATGTTCAAAATAGACTCCACTACTGATGTTGAAAGGTGTAATTTGGAAAAATGTGCTGGTCGTCGGGTCGTTTGCTAGGGAATCATCAGAATTAGCTCCTGCTGTTAGAACGAGGCACAAGGCAATAGTGATCCATTCCATCGTCATTTTACCTAAAATCAAAATTATGTTAATGATAACTCAGAGGGAAGATAATGGTTAAAAATGGGCAACCATTATCTTATCTTTATGCTTGGCGAATCTCTCGCCATTTTCATCTTCCAAGATAACGTTATTATTTTGGGTTAACCCTACGACGACATAAGGGCCATTTGCACGAGAATCGAATTTATTATTCCGGATTTCTTTATATGTGTAAACTTGATCACCGACCTTGACCTTAGAAGGCCGAGCTTTAGAATCATGCCATTCCTTTGATCGTTCTTTTGCTTTGATCACTCGCTGGGCGGCCAGGTTCTGTAACTCATGCATTCTAACGATTAAATCTCTCAAGTAAACACCATAAGTTTCCAATTCGGGGCCCTGTGGGAATGAACTGGGAACCCGGGCGGTTCGACCAAAAACCAATTCGTACGGTGTGAAATTTGTAGCTTCATGGACCGATGTATTATAATTAAACATCGCAAAAGGAAGTAGACGATCCCAATCGTCAAAATCATTTGCATAATGTTTAATATAATCTGTCAGCTCAATATGGCTCCTTTCTAATGCACCATTTGTTTGAGGACGATAACCGGAAGTAGTAAGTTGTTTTACGCCGAAAATTCTTTCGAGTTTTCGCATCAAAGAACTCACAAAGCTTCCTCCTCTATCTGTAAGCACACATCTAGGTGCTCCAGTACAGAGAGAAAAGGTTTGTTGCCACAGCATGGGCGATAGTAGTGGTTTTGATATCCGGAATAGGTACCGCGATGCAGTATTTACTAAAATTATCCTGCATGGTAAGAATATGTCGATTCCCATTGGGAGTAGTTCTCAATTTTCCCACTGTATCTAGGGATACCTTGTCGAAGGGTATTGCTGGGGTATCCGTTATCAACATAGGTTCGCGAGTTCGAGCCCTAACAAGTTTATTTTCAAGACAGCTTCTACATTTTCGAATAAATTGTGTCACATCATCCCGTAATCTAGGCCAATAATATCGTTCGCGTATTCGCCTGTAGGTCTTTGTAATGCCCTTATGCCCACCAATTAAACTACCATGATATTCGGTTATTATTTTCGAGCGTAATTCTGGGGGAGGGACTTCAATCTTTCCGTGGCACAAGGTGATTTTTACATCACCACCGCGGAATATTCCTGCTAATATGCCCGCCATAGTCGTTTGGGGGAGAGTACCTAACAGGTCTCCGGAATTTGCCATCCGGCAATGGGTTTGATTATCTAAAACTAAAGCGTGTTTCAAGTTTCGTAACCCTGTTGTAACGTCACTCCAATCAAGTTCGTCGAAATGTTTTTTCTTTACTACGATTGAATAAATTTTGTATTTTCCACAAAGGGTAACCTGAACTTGTCCTTTTATTGGATTGTTATCCCGGATGTCCTGTAAGTTAATTTTATCAGTAGCAATTAGGAGTTTTGAAATTGAATCAACGGGTTCACAATCTTCGGAAATAAAATGGGCAATATTGTCTTTCTTATAGGTCAATGGTTCTGTCCATTGGTGGAAAACATTTTCCGGATTTTCCTTGAATTTTTCATGTGTAGTAGTAGTAGTTTGTTCGTTGTCAGAGGGTTCGGGGGAGGAAGAAGAGGGGGACTCTACATCCGAAATGTTAATATAGATTGGTAACCTTGTGTGAGGGATAGGCATCGTTGGTGGGGGTAATTCTATATTATTTGAATGTAGTCTTCGAGGCACTATGTTTGTTTTTCTTCCCACTTCTTCGTCTTGTTCTTCGTCGTTTTCTGCTTGAAAATCTGCGAATGGGGTAGATTGTGCAACTGGAGCTGGCAAGGTTCTAGGAGTAAAAACCGGAAGACTGGTTGCAGGATTCTCATGGATGCTTTCTTCTTCAATTACTTCGGGCGTATCCTGGAAACGTACCACACTTCGTTTTCTTTTAGGGCAAGAATAACTCATTACTGGAGTATCCTGCTGAGCTCCACTGGCATAGGGGCTGAAAGAAGGAGCTTTGTGTTCCGAGGATGGTCTTGATTCTTTTGGAGAAGTGTTGTTGTCGGTGTGAGTTGGCTCTCGCTTTTTGTTGACATTATCCAGGAATCTTTTCAGTCTTGCTGTGAATTCGCTATCATTGGTTCCTTTGCAAGGATCCAAGGATTCTAGATAGTTAAGATATTCTTCATCGCTCTCTCCGTCGGAAACATGAGTCTTCTTTTTAGGTGTTCGACCCATTCCTTCATAGTCCCATGCTAAGGTTTGGTTGGATTGATTCAAGTTGCTGAATTCACGACGTTTCAGAGATTCATCGAATCGCCTAATTGATTGATCTAGTGAATTTTCTTGATCTTCAGGATCTGCTGGATTTTGCTGTGGTTCCTGATCAGTTTCTGATTCCGGTTCCGAACTTTCTTCACTATCGGGAGGTGGTGGAGGTATTGCGACGATCACATGCTCCGGGGAAATTTCTTCCACATCTTCTTGATCTGCTGATTCGCTGGAAGATGAACTGGAGTCTGAAGGAGGTTCTAGAAGGGCGCCTTCCCTTGCTAGTCGATCTGCATTTTCGTTTCCATTTATTCCATCGTGACCAGGCACGTGTTCCCATATAACATCCAAACCTTTCATTGCTTTAACTAATCGTTCGTAGGCACTTTTATTTTTGACAGGTTTATTTTCGTTGGTTTTCCAGTCGTTTTCCTGCCATTTTGGTACCCACTCTTGGATTCCTTGGACAAGTACCTTGGAGTCAGTTTTTATCCTTAGTTGATTTATCCCTGCTCGTTTCGCCTTTTTGATAGCCGTTGTTGCAGCCTCAATTTCGGAAGCGTTGTTGGTTTGTCTACCTGTGGACCGCTGAGAGACGTTAAGTGGGTGTCCAGGACCGAACCATACTCCAATCCCTGCACGTGGTCTTATTCCGCCATTGTCACAACATGCACCATCTACATAAACATCTGTGTAGGAACTAGACATAGGGGGGATACACGGGGTTGATGGTTGGTCAGTTGTTTCTTTTTGCGTAATCGGAATTTTAGGTGGGAGCTGAGGGGGAACACTAGGGAACACACTATGACTTGCACGGAATACCGGGGCGTCCGAATTTTCTTCCTTGTCGGTTTCTGTCGTTGATTCATCTGAAGAAGAAGATTCGTCTTCCTGGTGACGGGCCTTCTCTCGTATTTCTTGTTTTCTTCTCCTCAATCTTTCACCAATACTACTCACATCTGGATCTACAGGTTTCGAACCTGCAGGGGGAACATAAGGTTCTTCATCATGGGGTTCCTTAGGTTTGGTTGATCCTATGGGTCGTCCTCTCTTGGGAATAGTGAGCTTTGCAGGTGACGCTGCTGGATTTCTCGTGAGTATTTTCCTCGGCACAACTGGTATTTCCTTTGATGTGGTGGGCATTTTGGAACCTTTCGTGGAACTAGTGGCCTTGGGGTTCGATGATGAAGTAGAGGGGTTTTGTTTATTCGCATAAGGAGGCTTTTCTAGTCTTGTAGAAGGACCTTCTTTCTTTGACGCCACAGGAAGTTTATAAGTAGGGTTAGGTTGTAGTGTTGAAACCTCTAAAGGGTTCTTGGGTTTAGGTTCAACGTTAGAAGAACGTGGGGCTTTTTGTTGAATTTTGCTATTGTCACTCGATCGACTCGCTCGTGCACTGGCACTAATCACTTTTTGTTTCGCACCACTACTTATCGGAAGGGCGCGAAGAGGGAGTGATTTGATTTCAGAATTTTCGCGTTGGTCATCTAACTTATCCTGATCTGTTTCTTCCGAGGATTCGGTCCACTCTGACTCGGAAGATGCAAAATTGTCCTTTTTGTCACTAGTGTCATTATCTTCGATAGGGTTGTTAGATAGGGCCTCGACAATTCTATTTATTTTCCCGGGTTTGTACTCGAATTTATAACGGTAGTCTCGAAGTTTTAATCGCCATTTTTGAAGTCGCGTTCCTGGATTCTCGATATAACTTATCCAGTGAACTGGTTCACAGTCACATGATAGGATAAAATCTTGATTATACAGGTAGGGCCTGAAATGTTCCACAGCGTATAACACTGCAAGGCACTCTTTTTCGGCATCGAGGTATTTTCTTTCGTTAGCGTTTAAGACTTTTGAGTAGTACGCGACGGGAAGGTCAATTTTGTCATGTTCTTGGGTCAACATTGAGCCAATGGCATATTCAGAAGCGTCTGTCGTGAGTTTAAACGGTTTTGTGAAATCTGGGTATTGTAAGATGGGTCTTTTACACAGGGCTTTTCTGAGTTTTCTGAAACTTTTCTGTTGCGTATCGCCCCATTTCCATTCTTCTGTTTTCTTTAATAGATCAGATAGAGGTTTGGCGATTTTAGCGTACTCTTTTATAAAGCGCCTGTAATAACCTGAAAGGCCTAGAAAACTCCTGACTTCAGTTTGAGTTTTCGGTACAGGAAAACGCTTGATGGCCTTAATTTTTGCTGGATTCGGTTTTATTCCATTTGCTCCGACAACGTGACCTAAATAGGCCACTTCCTTTTTTAGGAATTCGCACTTGTCGGGTTGGAGTTTTAGGTTTGCTTCTCGAAGTCTATTATATAGTCTTCGGGCTCGCCTATCATGTTCCTCAAGGGTATCAGAATAGATAATGATATCGTCGAGGTACACGAATGCTTCCGAATCAAGCATACCATCAAGAACGCTATTAAGAAGTCGCTGAAAAGTAGGGGGGGCATTTTTGATTCCCATAGGCATACGCTTGTATTCGAAATGTCCATTTCGAGAAGAAAAAGCCGTTTTGTGTCGGTCGTCCGGGTGAGTTTCCACCTGGTGAAAACCACTAGCGAGGTCGAAGACAGTAAAGTATGCTGCCGTCCCTAATTTATCCAATATGGCGGAAATATTGGGGAGGGGGTAGGCATCCCCTATTACCTTCTCATTAAGCGCTCGATAATCAATAACTACCCTCCACTTTCTTTTTCCCGAAGCGTCAAGTTTTTTCGGTACTATAAGAAGAGGGGAGTTATATGGGGAATTTGAGTTTCCGATAATACCGCTATTAAATTGTTTTAATAATTGTTCGTCAATTTGTGGTAGGGCTTCATCTGGGGATCGGTATTGCTTTTTATGAATTACCTTATCGTCAGTGGTGGGGATTCTGTGTTGGATTAAATGAGTGCAACTTAAAGGTTCCCCATTGAGATGAAAAATGTCGGCATATTCCTCGGCCCATTTATTTACAAGTTCTTTTTCTTCCGAATTTAAATGGGACACAAAAAGGGATTCTTTAACCTTTTGAACTCGCTCGGTGTAGGATAACAGTGGAGTGGAAAAATGGTCAGATTCTGAATCAGACAATTCTTCGCCCTCCAGTTTGCAAAAATCAAAAGGGATTAGTTCTTGGGGAGGCAATTCTATATCGATATCCTCTTCTGTAGTATTAATCGCTACGGCGTGACACACTCCATTTTTGCTACTTACTACGGCCTCGCCCAAGTATACACCTTTAGGGGTGTTAATTCGAGGGAGATAACCTTGTGACAAATCTGGATTGATCACGTTAATAGCGATTGGATTTCGAGTTCTGGCTCGGATTCGCAAAACCTTTTTAAAAGGTTTGATATGAGGTTTCAAAATCTCCTTTTCAGCCAATGATTCCTTTATCCACAAACGGGATAGGGGTCACTGGGTTGGAGAGAGTGACCAGGGTATTGTGCCAGAACGATATCTGGGCCCTTTCCTGTCGAAGGTAGGGCCGCCCTAGAATTCCATGTGTTGAAACAGGAAAATTATTTCTTACTACATGAAATTCAACAGGTGCACTCGCGATGTTAATTTGAATTGTACCAATCGTTCTCACTGTGTGATTCGTTATTCCCGTGATTTCTGTACTCTTGCTCGGGTCAAGAGTAAGGTCGGGATCTAAGGCACACAATTTGATTAGATTGGTGTCGGATCCTGGATCTACTAGAAACCTAATATCTGATTGTCTGAATTCTGGGGCCGTGAACTGCACTACTGGGGAGTCCTCGGCCGTGACTCCTGCTCGTAGGACCTTACGGAATTGTCCTTGAATTGGACACTCCGTTGACGCTGTGGGTTTGGACTCGTCGGCGCGTCGGTATGTCGAGTCTGTTGAAAGTTTAAATTTCCTGGAGGTCCAGGGGATGCTGCACGCGTAGGGGCCGCATTAAACTTGAAATTTGAATTTTGTTCTTGATAGTTGCGATGAGATTGAGGTTGTTGGTATTGAGGGGGTTGAAAACTCATTGCTTGGATAGGGGGTTGGAAACTACCGAATTGTGACATCATCGAACGATAAAATGTCGCAAGTTGCTCAGGTGTAAATTGCAACACATCATTCGCCGATGTTTTCTGTGATCTATGTGACTCAAATCCTCTATCATTTTCCGACCTACGCTTTTCCGGATTAGAATTATTTTTCTCGACCTGTTTTGTATAAGGACTAGGTGATCGTGGATGTTCTTCGGCGCGAGCAATATGATAAGACGTACCTCTAGATCGGTCTGAGTACTTGTGCCTTTCTTCAGCACGAAGGGCATGCTCGAAGGCTTCACTAAGGTCTGCCGGATTTCTCGTGTCCACAAAAATAGACATTTCCTCTGGCAAGCCTCGAATGAATGCCTCAAGGGCGCAATCAATGATTGGTTTCATCATAATTTCGCTTTCAGAAGTATCCTGACAACGGACGGCCAAACCTTCTATTAATCGATAGCGTGCGTTATATTTTGCTTCTAAAGAATGTTTTGCCCCACTCAGTAGACCTTGTAGGCGGTCGTTATAATCACTAACCGTCTCTGATTGTTTTAGTCTAATGCTCATAATATTATCTAAATACCATTGATACTTCTTTGAAGAAGCAAATCTTTTCTTTAAATGGGACACTAACTCGTCTAATCTATTGAAACGTTTATCCCTTACGCTTTCTCTAGCCGCACCCTTTAATTTACTGAGGACGGCCTTGATGTATCCAGGCTCGGAAGTTCCTGTCAAAAACACAGCTCCATTAGCTACGTCTTGTAGGAATTCCTTCAAAGGTGGATTGCGTCCATCAAAAATAGGGATGTGATAAGTGCATTGTTGTAGCGTCATACACTCTAAGACTGAAGCCATCGCGGCTGTTGTATCAGGATTAGCATTGGCAGGAGGAGGGGTTAAATTTGCGAACGTGCTTCCGCACGCTAAACCGGCTCCTTGTGACACGGGGTCCGTCATTTTTAGTGCAAGTATATATATGTAGATAAAAAAAAATTTTAATTGTTATTCTCGATAATTATTTTTCACCACCGCGGAATATTCCTGTTAATTTGCGCGGGATATTTCGAGGTTAAAAAAAAATAAAATGATTTGAAAAATTTTCAATTTTGATTTTCGGAAGGTGTTTTAGTTAACAGCTGATTATAACGCGTCGCTATCCGGTTCAAAGTGGAAAGGTCAATGACCAATCGACCTCTCGGGGTCCTAGGGTCTCGTTTAATCCATATACCAGGCGCAGGGGTGGGGATAGCAATATTATGGTGGGACATAACCCTTAATTAAAAATTTTGTTTCCCCTTTTTTTTTTTTTATTTATTTATATATATATATATATTTTTTTTTTTTTTTTTTACAAATGGGGTGAACAATAGAAATTGGAGAAATTGGTAGAAAAGAGAAATTAATAAAACGAAAGAAAAGCTTTAATTTAGTTTTCCTTTTCCCTATTTTCCAAAGCCAATTTTACTCGACGCTCGATTTCTTTTCGTTTGTTTATGAGAACTAACTCGGCAAGACAATCATGAAATTCTTTCCATGAGCTTAGGGAGTTTTCCGAATTTTCCGACGAGGTTTCTTTTTGATTTTCGAGGTTACGTCTTGCTGCTATACGTTTATTTATATTTTCGTCACTCATAAGTTCTTTTTCTAATTTAGTGTAATTCTTAACTCTTATCAAGTTCCTCAGTTTCTTTCCTCCGTAAACATTTTTACATTTATGAGGCATTGCAAAACATTCTTGACAATTTAAGATAAACTAAAAGAAGCTAGATAAAAAAAATTGAATATAAAAATTTTTATGAGGACGTGGGAAAAGAAAAAAAAAAGATACCCTTTTGTTTTATTTAATCAATCACAATGACGTCATCGTTGTAATTTACCGTAGTGTCGCTGTCAGAACTGTTGCTGTCAGAAATCAAAATAGGGGTGGGTACAATCTTGATCTTTTCTCCGTTGTAATTTTCGATACGTTTTACTCTCAACCGTAAGGTGGGGGTATCTGTAAGAATGTCTGCTGAATGTACCAAGGTCAAAGAGAGTTTTCTCAAATCCCGACCATTTATTACAGTGCCCCTTTTAAATGGGAACTTTGGGTTAAACACTATAAAATAGTGTAATCTCTCTGGAAGATTATTTTTAATATTAGTGTTAGTCAAGGAGGAAAAGGTTTCAGAAGGAATTGTTTGAGAGATAGCAGAATTTGAAATATTTGCCTCTACTGAAAATTCTTCTTGTACTCTTTCTTGTGTTTTAATAGAAGTAGGAAGTGATTTGATTAAAGTTGTGTTTGATTTTCTTTTTGGTCTATTCTTTCTGCGAGTTCTTTTTCCTCTTTGTCTAAAATTATTCGACATTGCGATTTATCATAGTGACAAAAATTCTTCTCATTCCTTCACAACAAATAAAATATTTTTAGGATTGTTTTGTAATAGAATTTCGGAGACTTGTCTTCCAGTGAGCGAATCACGGAGACTTGTCGTCACGGACTATCTATAACAAAATTAAAAATTAAAAATTAAACGTCTAGTTTGAATTTTTAATTTTAAAAAAAAAAATATTTTACTTGAGAGAAAATAATTAGAGAATTTGTTTAAGAATAAAAATTAACAACGCCTTATTCTCTCCATATAGTAATATATTATTTTAAAATTATTTTGTGATAGAATTTCGGAGACTTGTCTTCCAGTGAGCGAATCACGGAGACTTGTCGTCACGGACTATCTATGACAAAATTAAAAATTAAAAATTAAATGTCTAGTTTGAATTTTTAATTTTCAAAAAAAATATTTTTATTTGAGAGAGAATAATCCGTTCAAGAAGAAAAATTAAACAAATTCTTCATTTTTTTTTTTTCATATAGTAATATATTATTTTTAAATTATTTTGTGATAGAATTTCGGAGACTTGTCGTCCAGTGAGCGAATCACGGAGACTTGTCGTCACGGACTATCTATGACAAAATTAAAAATTAAAAATTAAATGTCTAGTTTGAATTTTTAATTTTCAAAAAAAAAAATATATATTTCCCTCAAGAAAGAATAATTAGAGTATTTACTTAAAATAGAAATAGACCAAAACACTTATTCTCTCAACAAAAAGGAATGTATTATTTAGGATTATTTTAAAAGTAGAATTTCGGAGACTTGTCTTCCAGTGAGCGAGTCACGGAGACTTGTCGTCACGGACTATCTACAATTAAGGTCCCAAAATTGAATTAAAATAATTTTTAATTCTATGTCAACATACCCTTTGTTAGAAAGAAAGAGGTGATATAGAGAAATTTGAAAATTTAAAAATAAGAAAGAATTATTAAGTGAAAATTTCGAAAGGAAATAGAAATCCCTTATAAGAATTCCTCCCTTAAATTCTGAGGGGTAGCAACGTCAGGAAAAATCCCACCGCTGCCACCATCAGTTTGTTACGAACGAGAAAATATTTAAATAATTAATATAGTTGATTTAACTATAATGATTATTTTAGGCTTTTGAGATGGCCCTATTTTCCAGTTTGTTGGAGGAATTCAAACTGCCAGAGCGTGAGCTCTGTTTATCTTACTGGGATTCGTGTTTCCTAGTTGCCAAAATTCAGAAATTAATTAAGGAAGGGGGGGGGTAAGGAAAATGTAGAAAATTAATAGAAAGAAAAATTAAAATAATAGTTATGATTTATTGTAAATTAAAGAAAGGATCCATCCGCCTCTCAAACAATAAAAGAAAGGAGGATGGGGTAAAACTAGCCAGAACGATACAGTTACTTACCCGTTCTGGAACCTTAAGTCTACCGCCAGAATTCTGCCGACGGGCGAAGATTTCACAATACACTCACACGTGCACAACTTATTGTTTTTTTTTTTTTTTTTTTCTTAGTTTCCTAAACCACTAAAAATAGGGCGGACGCGGCTACACCGTAAAACCGGCCGGTCATTTGACAAGAAAGAAAATTTTAAATTTATTTAAATAAAATCTCCCCCTTCACTATTTTAGCTTTAGGTGGCCCCGCGGATTTCGAGTTAAGAATTTTATTTTCGTCCGGCCAAATTGCTTGTATAAACATACAACCAATTTGGATCCTGTATACCGGACGGGAACGTTACGGATAATATTATTTTTATTCCGACAGAGATTGAGTCTCTGTGCCGTGGGAAACCGTACTGAACAATTTAGATATCTAATTAATGAGCTTATATAGTTTTACTTCCTTAAGAAATATGGAAAGGTGGGGACAGGGCGTTGGTCCTGTTGCCATGCCAAAATTGCTGAACTTGCATTTTGTGGAATCGGTTCATTGCACTATGTTGAAATAAATTCCTTTTTCTTGTATTCTTAGAAAGAATATTTTCTTTTTAATATTCTTTTAATTATTGAAACAATTTTTAATTTGTTTATTTATTTATTTTATTTTTTTTTTTTAATTAATCTCTTAAAATAGGATTAATGTAAGTTGGAAATAATGGACATTTCAAAATAGAAATTCCATTCTATTTTGTAACCCTAAAAAAAAAGGTTGTTACAATTCCAACGTTAAATCATTTGTCAATAATTATTTTAATGTGCATTGGAATCTTCCGCAAGTTTGCAATTTATGGCGGGCAAGGTTTATAAGCTAGGTTGGTACAGGGAAACGAGAGATAAATTATATTTTTGAAAGAAAAGAAATAATAATAGAATTAATAATAATAATAGCCTAAACGTTCCCATCTTTATATATCGTATAATTGTTAATTGTATAAATATTTTTAATTAAGGCCGGGCCATCATTCACCCTATTTTCAAGGTTCGAAAAATTAAAAAAAATGCATTTAAAATTGAAGGCAGACGATTATAGTAACATTCGCCGTTAGTGTGAGAGAGAAAGAGCGATAGGATAGAAGAGTACACTATACTCCGTAAGAACAATATGCCTGAGAGAGAACGCTTCGATGCTATACACAATCTTCTTTCTCTCTCGCACAATGTCAAGGGGAGCGTGGGGAGCGCGGGAAGTCTTCACTCAACGCGTTGAGTGTAGCCTCACGTCTATTCTTCGTGTATATATATATATATGCATACAATATGCATTTCATTATTTTAATTCTAATAGTTAATAATTTTCCTTTTTACTGTTAATAACATGGATAATACACATATATGCACACATATACATATACCATAGCCATTGTTGTTGTTTTAAAACAAATTATAAATTCAATAAAATAATACCCTTTTATTAATCGATATTTATCAATATAGTTTAATTAATAATTGATAGTTTATTACTCGTGTAGGTTCCAAGGGCTTGCCTCATGAGTTGAATAAAATTTAAAAATATAAAATTATTTTGGTGTCATTGCCTCGCGAGTTGCACCATTTCGCTGACACCGAAATTCCTTAGTGCAATACGATCTTTAACTTCCTTCAACTTGGTTCGAAGGAAGTTTTAAAAGAATTTTAAATAAAATAATTTTCGAAATCTTTTTAAATTAAATATGGGCGTAACATTTTTCATCCGCCGAATACTGTCTTATTTTAGCATTAAAATTAAAATCACATGACCAGAGTACACATTATAAATTGAAAGCACAATTGTCCTGGAATGTAAAAATGCCGATTTCGATAAGAAACAGTAAATATTTGTTAAAAATTGGTAAAAGCAAAGTTTGACAAGCGCGACTGAATTTACCATGTGAATAAATGAATTGGTAAGTTTAAATGGACGAAAAGAAATCTACTGTTACCGACAGAAAGTTCCTAGAGAATTGTTAAACAATGAAATTTCATTGTTTTGTTGAATTTACCACAATTCTCTAGGAACTTTCTGTCGGTAACAGTAGATTTCTTTCAGTCCATTTCGTCCATTTAAACTTACCACTTCATTTATTCATATGGTAAATTCAGTCGCGCTTATCAAACTTTGCTTTTACCAATTTTTATTAAATATTCACTGCTTCTTATCGAAATCGGCATTTTTACATTCCAGGACAA